GATTCAAAGTCCTTAAAATTCTTCAAACATCAGTCTTCAAGACTCCATCTTTTTGAAGAGCTTCATGGTCCATGACTTTGCTTATTGGTTGGTTTTCTACCTCTCCAGTGTTAGTCATTCGTGTCTGCTCACTTCCATCCATTGTAAGATTCTTGCCTTCATGTAATATAGTTTGAGAATGTATTTTCTGCCTCCTAGTCCCCTCCACAACCTCATATCTTGTTTAAAGGAAAACTAAAGGTGTTTATTCTGGAAAATTTGGAAAATAGATATAAAAAACAAATAATGAGGAATTTAATAAGTTATGAAGAGTCATTATTTAGTAACTGGTATTTAGGTTTTCAGAATCATGGGAAGGAGAAATTGTTGTTTGGTTGGCTTTTTTTTTTTACTCTTGGCTCTTTTAAAAATACATCTTTTTCCAATTGAATATCTTACTTGTGGCGTTGATAAACTCCTTCCACCTTTTAAACTCTTTCTCATCTCCATTTGATTTTCCCAGGTGGGGAACTCATAGCTAATAAGCAGTCTTTTGCAGTGAACATAAGTCTAGATGGGGCTTAACTGCCTTCTTAAGTTTTTTTCTTTCACAAAGCAAAAGATTATGAGAGACATTTTATTTATACCAACATCCTATTCAAACAAAATTATTTAAATAGTATTGTTACATCTTCCACAAAAATTTAGACAAAATTGTTTACTACATCAATTTGCCACTGTGGTTTTGTTTTTACTTTTTTATTTTTTATGTAGATCCTCCTTCTCTAAATAATAATAATAACAAACCTCTTGAGTTTAGCTAAAGGATTCTAAAGAGAATCACCAGTGAAATTTGGCTATGAACGTAAGTGGTTTGTCTCAATGATAGGAAAACTAAAGATCACAATCCACTCAGCTCACAGTTTCTAGAGAACTCGCCTGTTCACTTTCTCAGCTGTTCTGTTCTTTGTTGTCCCCTTAAAATTTACCTTGTTTTCATTCAGGATATTTCAAAGGCATGTTTATAACATAGAAATGATTTTGGGTGATGATGTACTTGGAAAATGGTGAAGAAAACAAATGAAGCTTTTTTTTTTTTGCTTGTTTTAAAGCAGCAAAAATTTTCAGAGAATTTTCAATGCTGTATCCCCTGAGAACCTAGGATGTATATGGTCCCGGAAGCAACACTCACAAATTTCTTTGGCCTCTGATGCTCCTTTAGTGGAGAACATCTTTTAGGACTTAACACTCTGGGGAATACTGGTTGAATGTCTCTAGCTACTTCAAAGCCTTATAGAAGAATTAAAGTTTAAAGACTTAAAAAAGTTTTTATTTTTTAAAAAATCTAAGCTATTATTTTACTTGACCTTAGAACTAGTAACTGCTTCAGAAGACCTACTATTTGTGGTTGAGATCACATGGAATATTCTTTTGAAGAAACATATTCTAGATCTTAAGTCAAATGATCAGATAGTTCATAATATAAGAAAAATTAGACACTCCAAAATACCCAGATATGTATGTTGATGTGCATGGAGTTGTAAAGGTAATTTTATTGTTCTCCAAATTCTGATATGATACATAAACATAATGTGGTAGATGCCTGCCCATCAACATTATTTAGGTGTAAAAAGGAAGGAAATTCTGACTTGGGCTATAATATAGATGAAACATGAAGCTATTTTGTTAAGTCAAAGTAAGTAAGAAAAAAAGGGGACAGACACACAAAAAAGTTTTGTGGTTTCACGTGTAACAAGTATTCAGAGCTATCAAAGACTGAAAGTGGAATGGTAGTTTCCAGGGTCTGAGGAAAATATCACACACACACACACACACACACACACACACACACACACACACACACACAACAACCAACCAACAAAACAAATAGGTAACATTTGCCAAAATGAGCAAGTCCTGTCAGCACATGTTCAGGAATCAGACAAGACCAACCACACTCCGGTGGCCAGCAGTGAGAACCACATGGAGGGTAGTGCCTAATTTCTGAAAAACGAGTTCAGTTTCCTGCATATCTGCAGCCAGCTTGGGAGGGCACACGGAGAGGCTGCTTGTGACACAGGAAATATTCCTATAGAACTATTGCACTTTCAACTCACTAAATATTTGCATCAATTAGATCATCTTACATCTAAGCTCGAATTATCTTTAACTGAAAATTCAAACTATCCTACTACTACTTACAGGAAATGAGGTGAATATTGATAAAGTATGTTCTATTGGTATTGGATTCATTTAACATAGAATATGTGCATGTTGGTCTCTTGTCACATGTCTAATAATTGGCTGGAAGCTACTGGAGATTTATGATACATTTCCTGCTGTTTGTAATAGATGTCCCCAAATATAAGCTACAAGAAGAAATGAAAAGAAGAAACTACAGACTTAACTTTTTCCCTGACTCTTATTTCACCAAATCCAAAGTAAATGATAGATTTTTTTCAAGAAAGAATAACATAGGAGAAATCACAGAAAAACTCATGGAAAAAGAACCAGGAATTGGTATTAGACAAGTCTTGGGCTTGGTCCTGAGACCATTGATAATCCTGCCACAGACACTCTTCCTGAGATAATTCCCATCAATAAGCGGAGGCAAATATCTGTCTGGACTAGTGGGGTCCCATGGAAGTAATAAGTGAAGTTTTCAATCTTCAAAAATGTTTGCACATCTCTTCCTTATAGATGAAAAAGCCTGGAACTTCTCATAAGTGGATATTTCCCTTGGGGTACTAATATACTCTCCCAGGTCAAGCTCAAGTTCTCCTTCTCACTCTGAAGCAGCATGCACAAAGAAGTCATGCTTTTATTCTACTCCAAGTCTTACCTTGAAAATACTGTGGTTTAAGACTTCATTGAATGATCATTTTTCTGAGTGGGGCGGGGGAGGAAAGGAGGGACTAAGGCAAATTTTAGATAAAGTAAAAGACAATCTTAAATGTTGACAAATAGGCCAGGGGAGTTTCATGATAAAGTTATTGGACTGGTTGGCTTTTCCTTGGTGTGAAAGACGAAATACACAAGAATAATCACCGTAGGACTCTGTAAGAAACACTTCAAAAGCAGGTGAATATTGACTCTTAGTCTTAAGCTTATAAATACTTAATAAGGCAACTGTAGTTTAAAGATACAGGCATGACTTTTTCTGACACAGTGGTATTCAGAAACTCATATTTAGCATCCTATAAAAAGAGCCTTCATACCTTTAGAAAAATCACTCAAATTTCATCTAATTCTAAAGCCTTTATGACCATCCAGCCCTCATCATTTACTGCCTTCTCTGAACTCCAAGACTATTTATTACCTGTAGTATTCACTCAGCATGAGGTGTTAGGGAACAAGTATAGCCCAATAAATAATAAAATCCTCTAAGGTAAGGATCACATTAAATTCCTCTTATTATCCTCCGTACCTAACCTGGATCCTGATCCACACACCATAAATGCTCAATAAATGTTTGTTGTTAATGATGATAGGTTGTAGACTCGCCTGAAACATAATCTGGATAAACACAATACAGAAAAAGTGCAAATCATCATGTAACAAACATGCAAGCCAAGAAATCAATGAGAGCTGTCTGAACACCAAGTAAAAGACAAAGTAATACCTGCTCTCTGCCCAATATCCAACATGGTGATGGATTATGATACATAAAATTATCAATAAGGACCAATGTAGTCACAATGATTTCCAAGTGGTAGCAAGAAATATTAGATACAGAATATAACACTCCAACAAAAGCTACAGACATGAGAGGTCAGACTCAGAGGAGCAGATATATTCTACTGATGAAGAATCTTATTGCAAATCATTTACTTCCAGAGTAATGGAAGCATGGCACTTTCAAAACCTCTCTCAGTGTCTCCCCTGCCAAGAGTCTCACATTCTGATTTCCAACAATGAAATGGAATGCCCAATACTTGCCCTTCAAACAAAGGAATAGGAGGGCATACTTTTGACTCTTGCCAAAACAAACACACAATGCTTTTAAGTGAGTAACATTTATAATATGAGTCAGGTTGAGAAAATTCACACACTTCTAATCTATGTGCATCTAAAGAGGGCAGCAGACTCTATTTCTGGTATAAATGCCTATATTCTTCCACAAGGTTTGGCTTAAATTAGCAATAAAAAAGTTGGTCTCAAATCCAGTTTAGTAATCAACCCTGTCTTCTCCTTTTCTCTCATTTATCCTTTCTCTATTTGTATCTTAACCTTTGTCTTAAAATGTAGGAGACTCTTAGGTAGAAAATTCTGATCATTTTTATTAAAGGTACAGAAAGCATAATTATCACCAGTATAGGAATGACTCATGTGAAACAATAAAGCAATTGATCAGATCAATGGTAGTGTCCTTGGTGCTGGAGGATGTCTGGAGTAAGGGATGAAAGAGTCGGGGGTGCAGACTGACTTTCCCCCTTTTGTTACATGAGAAACCTGAACAGGATAAGTAATTTATCTTGTCATTACTTTGGAACAGTGATAATAATGTAACTGTTTTTCAATAACATTTTATTAACTCTTTGGCCTAATTAACCAATCAACAAGTTATGTATTAGTATATATATTCTTCACCTAATCTATATGACATTTCAATCACTTTCAAAGTTTTAAATGGAATAAGAAAGGCGCATAATAAATTATCAAGATAGACACAACTCTAAGGACCTGGTTTTCTTCTATTAATCCTTTTGATGCATAAAATCCACTACCCAAAGGAAACAAAGATTATATTTCACGGGTTAATCACTTAATACCAATGGCAATTTCTACAACTAACCTAGATTCCTTTATAGATCGAGGAAGACCAATGCTGTATCCTTTCTTTGAAACAATTGGCCTATGGCATCTCTTTGTATGTCAAAATTCTCATGGAAAGAACAAATGTATTTTTACAGAGAAAAAGTATTCCGAAATGTGGAGAACATGAGAAGCTAACTTTACAGGATAAAAAGGTTTCCTTCTAGGAGCTGAGGATATGGACTTAGCAATGATACTTTACTTACAGTCATTCAGGTCCTGTTGGCACAGTAGATTGAGGTCCTTCAAGCCTTTTCCTTGTTCTGGAGGTGGGAATATTCCAGTGGGATGTACTTACATCCAGAAACAGTCAGGGAGAAAACTGGAAAGACTCTAAAAAGAGATACAGAGCAGTTAATTCAGGGTGGCCATTTTAGATGATGATGGAGGCAGCCTCAAAATGATTAGCAGGGAAGAGGTGACACTGTTCAAAGAGAAATGTACTCACTACCGGACTTATGTCACTATAACCCTTCTGTCACATTTACAATAAAAATAAATTGAATAAGATGAAAATGATTAGCAGAACAAAGGCTAAAACTGGGATGGGGCTTTGTGGGGTGGAAAGTGGGCTTCCCCACTAGATGGCAGTAGGGCACATCTGTGGTATCTATGGGGTTTGTTACCAAGACAGAGCAAAGGGATGCAATGAGTTTCCATAACTCAGCAGGAGAAGATCATTATGGTGTATCACATAGATTAAAATGAATATATTTAAGCATGTCATACCCCTTAGGTTTGATGCTACCTCAAAGGTCAGGCATAAATGGGTGTTCTCATGAGCATGATGTCATGAGTATGACACATGTACGTATGACTACCACAAACACATACAGATGTCAATTACATAGATATGGGTCAATATTGGCATAGATATAGACTGGGAGCCATTATTTTAATAAATGGAAATCATGATAGAGGAAAGAGATACATTCTTGCTGGTAACTGTCACTATCCCATCTTTATCAAAGGGGAAATTTGATGGACTTCAAAACAGGTGAAAGCCTTTGTCTAAGGCCAAACAGGTGGGAAATTACAGGTTCTGGATTAACCAGTGGAGTAACTTGTCCTTCTGAGCTTCAAACCAATAATGTAGTCTTCAAAACCATAATATAGTCATGCTCACCTCACACAGACCTTGCTACAGTTTCTTGCAATTTGAGAACAAGGTTTTTGGTAGGTTTGCACAAAAAATGCTAACACATGCATTACACAAAGTGAAAATAGCATAGAAGCAAGTTTTATCTATATGGCTGTAATTATACATAATGTATAAATAAGTAAAATATTCTACTGTCCTGCCCATTGTAACAAATTCAATGTATAATTCAATAAAAATGTCATTTAAAAGACTATGAAGCTTATTTTCAAGTTAATATATCAAATCCACATGCATACATAATTGAAGCCATTCACTGTATGCCTCAAAATACATTGCATTAAGGTAACACCATAGTGAATTTATGTCGCTTTTTTTATTATGGTAGAAGAGGCATTTCTAGTGAGATGGATGAGTTCACCCAATGGACCAGACTCTGCAAACTGTAAGGAATCCGTCTGCCGGCCTTCCCTCCCTCTCTCCCTCCCTCCCTCCCTCCCTCTCTCCCTCCCTCTCTCCCTCCCTCCCTTCCTCCCTTCCTCCCTTCCTCCCTTCCTTCCTTCTTTCCTTCCTTCCTTCCTTCCTTCCTTCCTTCCTTCCTTCCTTCCTTCCTTCCTTCCTTCCTTCCTTCCTTCTTCCTTCCTCCTTTCTTGTCCCACCCTCATCTAGAAAATGTATTGCTCTATAAGTTGGACTTTCATGTGACAATACAAATGTAGCATATATAAAGCATTAGCACAATGTCTGGCCAATAGTAAATGCTAAATAAAAGTCACAAATGTCATTTATGATGACCAACAAAGATGGGTCATCGTTTAGGATGACCCACAAAGAAGAAAAGAGAGGATATAGAGAAAATGCTGAGAGAAGAGGATGAGAAGAGGGAAGATGGGAAGGAAAGATACAGAAAGGTAGGAGGACATCAAGGAGAGCAGGAGGTAGGTGGCATCACGGGAATAATAAAGGAGTGATGGAATGACTTGAAGTTCTTCGCCTAGGGCCAACATTTCTCCTGGAAGGTCACAAACCCATCTTCAACCATACAGAGTTTTGAATACCTGCCCTGAACTTTGAAAATAACTCTACTCTTCATCTTAGACTTGTGTGTTTTCTCCTGCTTATCTGAAATTAGTTAGCTTTTCTGTAGACTAAACACTGTGGAAAACAGAACCCTTGCCAGAGATTGTGGGATTGAAAAGGAAGGAAGAGACAAGCAGCATTCTCTGTAGTTGTGCTACGGGCAATAGAAAAGATGCTGGTCAGACTGTTTATAGATCTTTTGTTTTGGGTCACAAAGCAAACTTAAAACTCCAAAAACAAATGGAAGATAGAAGTCAAAGAAAAAAATTAAAGCATTTTTCTCTAGCATTTCTTATGGGCATTGCCTGACAGCAGAAATCATGGTCTATGCAGAGCTAGAAAAAAATATTCTCTGTTCCTTTGAAAGTAACAATTTACTTACAAAATTTCCTAAGTAAATGTGTGTGTGTGTGTGTGTGTGTGTTTGCATGTGTGATTTCAGGCTTTAATATTTTTTTGTGTGTTGGAGAACATGGGAAATTAAAATGATAATAAAATGTGTCAGTAATAATAAAGTCTGTACTTATTGAGCACTTACCATATGCATGACATGCTTTAAGTCAACACTACTTTATAAAGTGAATGTTAAATTAGACAAAAAATTTGGGACTTGGAGAATCTAAATAATTTCATTACTAGTAGATAGTAGAGTTAAAACTCAAACCAAGGGTTGGCTGAAGCCAGAGCCATTTCTGGGGTCCGCCATTTTATGCTCAGAGATAATGTTCACAATGCCTAGGTTAGGATCTAAACATACTAGGTATGTTATAATCTCACCTTTGCTTTTTTATTGTTATTACAAAGGTGATGTACAGAGGGGTTATAACAAATTGTATCATTCATTTTCAACATAATGTCTATTGAGTACCACTGCTAAATTTGTTCACCCTTTGCCCTTCTATTTCTGTGCCTTTCCTTACCATTCCAAAGATAGATAAATGAATAAACAAGACAAAAAGAAAAGAAAACAAAAAACAAAAATGAAGGAAAAAAAACCTCTTGTTTCCATTTCTTGGAGTTCATTTTGATCATAACCTTTGCTTTTTGCAAAACAGTACAGTACTGCCATTGGATTTTTTTTACATCTTTCAAGGAAAGATGTTCTATTTTCATCTTACAAATTTTGGGAGAATGACATGTTATTGTTTGCCAAACTTTAAAATTCTTCCTCTAGTATCATTACCTGAGTGCACAAAATCCTGGGTAGGGGGTCCATGGGTGAGAGCTGTTTGAACGAATATTTAAGACACACACACTGGCCAGAAGGAAGACCTCTTACTCAATTGAGTGTTATTTTTCCCATTCCATCCTTACACATTTATAATTATGTAATTAAAAGTCCTATATAAGGTGTTAAAAGTAGAGGAAAATTCTCATTTGATAATCTCTCCAGCATATAATTTCCTGTTATAAAAGGACAGTAACAAATCGTATCAATACAACAGCATACAATTCAATGCATAGTAGCCACTCACTTGTAGTGCCTGAGAGAAGACATGCCCAGAACTCTATAGCAGATGAATGAAGAACCCCAAAATTTCCCCACAGTTTCTTTTAATCTTCTAAACCCCAAACTACATAGAAAGGTGAAGAAGAGAGGTCAATATATGTCTAACTGTTGCCATTACAACTAATTGAATTTCAATCTAGGTTGTTTATGTACTACTCAGAAATAATCTTTGATTAAAGTCATGACTGTAAATTCTGAAAGGTGTGTGGCTGAGAGAAAAAGGGGTTAAAATACATAGGTAATGCAACATTTATCCTTTCAGAAACTGAAAATGTATAATTTGCACATTAAAATCTCACAAAGTCTGTTATGTACTTTTTCTAAATAATAATATATTGAAGATTTCATATTAGCTGGAAGAAAGGGTTTTGAATGCTCCCAACACACAAAAAAGAAGATAAATGTTTGTGATAATAGACTTTGTCATTATACATCGTATGCATGTATCAAAATACCACTATACCCCATGACAATTGCTAAATATCAATGAAAATTATTCTTTATTACTTTCTTCAACTATTCTTTCTTTCTTTCTTCTTCCGTCCTTCCTTCCTGTCTGTCTTTCTTTTATTTTTGAGTTCATATACTTTTTTGTGCCAGTACTAGGGCTTGAACTCAGAGCCTGGGTGCTGTGCCTGGACTTTTTTGCTTGAGGCTAGTGCTCTACCACTTGAGCCATAACTCTACTTCTAGTTTTCTGGTGGTTAAATGGAGGTAAGTGTCTCATGAGCTTTCTTGCTTGTGCTGGCTTTCAACTGAGATCCTCAGATCACAGCCTCCTGAGTAGCTAAGTTTATAGTCATTATCACTGGCACTCAGGCACCATGAAGGATTTTCATTGTGATATTTCCATCCATGCTTACATCCTACTTGGAATAAACTCAGGTGTCTGCCATATGCACTTCCCTCCCCATAACTTTTGTGTAGTTTGACTAACTCCTTAATTTTTGTTCTATTCCTTTTTTAAACTTTTTCAAAACCTTTTAAAATCTAGAAACACTTATTCAAAATGCATTTGAAATCACACATCTCAAAATCATTTAGAAAAAAATTACAGGTTCTCCTTATTAACAATAATGGTAGAAATCATCATGATAATAATTTTCCCTCATGTGTAAGATTCATGCTATCGCATTTTGGAATACTACCAGATCCTTGTAACGGGTCTTCTCAATCCTCAACTTCCTATGCTGATTGACTTTTTGTATCTCTCCTGAATTTGTCTAACTCCACTCCTAGTTCTCTTCCACCTCTGCCATTCATCCATCCATGACACTCATTCTTCTTAAAAGAAAATCCAATCTCTCTCCCCCACACTGCTATGTCTCTCTTCTTTATACACCTTATCTACTATTTCCCAAGTAAGTCCTTTGATTGAACTTACTCTCTGATCTCCAAATGGGGGACACACCCTCCTATTTCCTCTGCCTTTCCAGTCCCCCTTTCCCTCTTCCCATAACACGTGCCAGTGTGTTTCACAACATATGTGGATTACTCTGACAAGCAAGGTCACTACCTGCTCCTCATTGCCTCCCTCACAGCACCTGGTCCACATCTTGTACCAGGGATGTTACAAGAAGCACAGCTGGCCACCTGTTCTGCACATCTCCCATCTTGTGCCTCTCAAAAAAAACCATCCATAAGGAGGGTCACTTTTGATGATCTGACACTCAGCAATGAATATGAAATTCTGTTTCAGTGACAAGGCTTTCTCTTTATGGAAGTTAGAAATGCTTAAAAGAATTGCATTTGGCGGTGGGAAGGGAAGAATAGTGCATATTTTATTAGTATAATAAAAATAATTACTGTAAATCTAGATCATCAAGACCAGGATTTTTGTTGGCTCTGGAATAATTTAAGGAGGCCAGTCATGACCCAGAACATTCTAAGTGCATGCTTTGTCCTTCAGGCACTCATGTTTCTCTCTGCTTTATAGAAGTAACTACAGAAGGCTCAGTGGAGATGAAGCCAGATAGAGGAAGATGATCTAGAGTCAAAGGGTCTGGCCCTAGGTCCCATTTTTACAGCTGACACATGAACAGTCTTAAGAAAGGCTATTTAACCTGCTTGGAAAGCAGTTCCCTGCTCTGAAAAAAAATGGAAAGTCTAATATTTAAGATCATACTATTATGGGAATTAACTGTAGTAATTGCTGCGAATGCCCTGTAAATTATGAAAATTTCTGCAAATGTTAGCTACAATGAAGGAAACATAGGTAGCTCCCCACTTTTCCTGTGCACTTTTCCTGTGTTTCTAGTCTAAACAATACATTGTGAAATGAAGGACTCATTAGGTCATATGACTGTCCTATGCCCCAGGGATGTCCTATGTATTGGCAGCCAACAGAAAACAGTCTCTCTCTCTCTCTCTCTCTCTCTCTCTCGTAGTGCAGACTTTCCTTCACTCACTCAGCTTGGACTTTGCTGCCCAGATTGTCTTTGAACTGTGATCCTCCTGGTCTCACCCTGTGGAGTAGTAGGATTATAGGTGTGAGCCACTAAAGCCTGGCTTAGAAATCATTTCTTAACAAAGAATTCTTCTTTTTAGTGTTTGAAAGCTGATGCTGAAGTTGCTATTAGAAATACAATTAAGTCCTATGGCTTAAATGTTCATTTCAGAAGCTAATTCTAGACATGGAAATCCAACCACACACACACACACACACACACACACACGTGCGCGCACGCACGCACACACACTATTAGGTTTATATTTCCCCTCTCTTCCTTTCTTTTTTTCTCTCTTTTTATTACCCATTCTTCCCTTCCTCCTTCATTTCTTTATTCCTGGTTTCTGTATTCTTTCCAATCATCTTTTCTACCTTCCTCTTTTCTTCTCCATGCTTCCACGGCTTGCTTTTTTCCAACAAGAATTTAGAAATAATCACATCAGAAAGTGACACATGAATCTTTGACTAGTGACCTGTTTTACTTCTCTCTCTGCTGCAGTCTAAAATGCTTGTAAAGCCCCTCCATTTGCTGCAGAGATAAACTCTAGTAGGTAAATGTACCTAACTGTATGTTATTTACCAATTAGCTCCCAGAACAGACTGTAAAGTTAAGGCATAATCTACTGTGCCAGATACTTGATTACTGAAGAATACTCCCTAGGCATTCCATTGCCTATGAGTGATATTTTTTTCTATTATGTGATGGGAATTATTGACTCACTGGGCTAGAATGCTCTTGGAGTCCACATAAAAGCCCTATTTCCATAGTGGATTGAAAGACCACCACACTTTGGTTTCCTGCATATTCACAGTTTGCAGATTATTGATCTGATAATGTATCAACTCAGCATCCTTTGGGTATCTTTAGCTTCTTGTGTGTGCATGCCTCTGTCAAGAGCTCCCCAAACTAGCATCTGCACAGCAGCTGCTATGGTCTCAACTGCTCAAATTATTTTTGTATTTAAAATGTAATATTTCAGCTTTCCTTGAAACATACAAAGTCAGGGAAAGTAATATCCCCTAGGAACTAAGTGAATTACCATAGATGCCCAATTATAAATAAGAAAAAAGCTTATAAAATATAATCACAGAATTTCCAAACCAGAATGGAATACAATAAAATTATTTTGCAGGTTATTGAACATTAAAGATAACCTGGGTGGATTAAAGGCAAGACTCCTTTTAAAATCAAGTACACATGGTGTATGTGTGTATGTGTGTGTGTGTGTATTACTGATTTTCCTGAATCAATATTGTTAGCACTTATTTAATCAAATACACTCACGTCATAAGAAAATAAGAAAAGAGTCCACAAATAAAAAAGGCACCTTGTTCATCCCCAATGGCTGACACAGAATATATGGTGGAGATATTGAAGGTGGATGAGAATTTGCCTCTATTCTACTGGAACAATCATTTCTCGTTTGTTGTAAAGAGTGATTCTGTTTTGAAGGGCCAGTATCTCACCTATTCAGATGCTTCTCTATTTCTATGTCCCCCTCAGCTTCTGCAGATCATCTTGCCAATGCCTGCTCTAATGGTGACCTTTCTCTTTAACACTGCCCTCCAAATAGGACTAGTGATCTCAACCATTATTCTCCCTCTTACCTTGCTCATGCTTCAGAATTTCCCCTTCTTAACCTATACTCTGTCCTCTTGCATTGTATGGAGAGACCTGCAGCAGATTCCTTTACAGAAATCACCAGGATCTGTACATGTGCAGTGCTCACTCGATACTTACTGAGAAGTGTGAGTATATTTTCCAGGATTGATCCAGCCAAGTGCCTACTCTGTAGGGCCTTGCTCCCTGAAGCACTCCATTTTTCAAAGGATCTTTACATTTTTATATGTGAAAGATGCAAAGACTTCTAAATCTATCAGATTGGTTCTGTACTGATGAGATGTTAGCCTGGATGCAAGCAGTGAAGTCTTGAGTGGTATATCTTTGAATTGCAACTACTCGATCTATTTTTCCATCAAGAGCTCATAAGCACCACAACAGCAATGACCTTTTCCCTACTTCTGTGTTTAACCCCCAACGGTCCTCATTATATTGCTCTGTTCAACAAATGTGGATGTCCAGCTCTTTCTGCCCCTTCCGTCCCCAGATAATTGAGAGTTGACTCTAATAAAATGTTTTGCAACTTACAGCATGAAGTCATTATAGATCCTCTGTCAGGTAATTGATAAAAGAACAGTCTAGCCCGTCCTTTGCATTCACTGGCTCAAAGTTCATGCAACCCATACTTGTACAAATCATACCTAAATCACCTTTGGCCTGCTAATGTGAGGATATCATCCATCAGTGGATGAGTGGTAATGCTGATCTCTGGCTTTCTAGACTGTCTGGCAGCAGGTCCTGCTTGGGGGAGTTTCATGGCCTCCATTGCTCTTAGAGATGCTCTTAGGGATGCAGGTGGAAAACTTTTCAACACAGACTAGCTCCCAGCTCAGCATGAAGTGGAACCTAGTTCTGACCATAGACAGGACTACAAATGTGCCTCAATTCTTAAATCTCCTACCAGTCTTTTTTACAAAGCTCAGGAACTTGCTACCCAAGGCAGGTAGCTTCTCACTCAGCCAATTCTTTGCCAACCCAATTCTACTTGGCTTCCTGACCTTACCTCTTCGTGCAAAATTAGTAGTATAAAAGGCAGAGAGTGATTTCTGGTAAGACACGGGTAAGTACTTTCCCTAGAAAACATTCATTTTTCAACATGAAGTAGGTTTAAAATTTGGACGTTGCTTTATTCATAAAAATGCATAGATTGAATTTGACTCAGTGATATAAAAATCATGGCTTACAGTCCAAATAAAATTTCCCTTGACATCAGCCAGTTAACCTGAATATAAGGCAATGATGTGTTAACAATCCTTTATTGCTAATGCTACTTAGCATTCAACTTTGTAGCTATAATAAATTTATAATATCTGCTTTACTCTTGAGAATGTTGTTCATAGGACAAAATAAAAATACACCTGCTTTTAAGGCCATAGTTGTACCAAATCTAAACACAGCACCATATCATGTTCTCACTGGTCATCAAGCCTCAAGTCTCAATTAAATCAGTCAGATGTTTCCACTGTCTGCAGCAAACCATACACAGCAGCTCAAAAATCACACTATGGTGAAAGGGAAGCAAACAATCATGCAGAATAGAAAATTTCTCTTTAAAAGCCTGAGCAATGGGAATAGTTTTTTAAGAACTTTCTAGTGCACAAAGGTAGCTATAACTATAATCTCTTGTTCTACTGACAGCAGCCTTGAAAAGTTGATCTTTAAGTATCCCAAATGAACTCATTTTTAACTCTTCGGAGATTTCACTGACACTCTGGAATAATGCACAAATAATTAGGTGATAGCAAGCCCATTGCTGGAGTATTATTGAACATACAAAAATTATCACATATTCTAAGCACGGACAAACCTCAAATGATAACACATATTCTCAACTTTCACAAGAAGAAATCTGAATTACTGTTGGTCATTTTTGGAGGTTTGAGAAACTAACTTCAGTCATGGCAATAAATACTCGATGCTGTGGCACCTCCACTGGTGGGACTTTTCATACTACATAGTGTTTTACATACTCATTCTCTCAGGTAAAAATACTCTGGGCAAAACTACATAATTTCTCAAGCTGATACAATAAGGTTGAGTAATTAGTAATCTCTGTGTACATGCCTCCTTGTTATGATAAACTTTTAAACATTATAAAATAAATTAATGTAGAAATGAGGGACAGAGGGGATTTGAGAGCAAACAAATTGAAAGATGCTGTATGTGAAGTAACAGCTACAGCATTGCACACCACCAAAAGTAGTATTTCATTTTCAAAAAAATGTGCACATTCTCTATATTGTTAAATAACAAGAACTTGAAACATTTTAATAAAAGTAAAATTATTATATATACACCACACATATAACACGAATGTATTTTTATTTTAGTGACTGGAGAGAAAAAGAAAAAGACTCGGAAGCCAATCATTTCTCCCATGAGCAAGTAGAAAAGGTTTCCTAACTGTTAGCAAGAAAGGACAGAGTCAGAAAGAGCTGTGTCTTACCTGCCAGCTCTTCCTGAGATTTGGAATAATGACTTTGAGGAGAGTTGCCAATACTACCACGGAGAGCACACTGCATATGAATTTGGAGTTCTTCTCAGGCAGTCAACGCAAAGACCATGGTGAGCTTGGATGAGGCTTGAATAACCAGAGGTCTGCTATCCTCACTTACTGGGTCTTTCCTGGCTCTTTCTGTTCAGGTTCCTCAGCACTACAGTGCATCTGCCATTCTAGGTGACGTGCTTTTGAAGGGCAAATCTCATTAGCATCCTGCTCTCCCTCAATGGTCAAATGATATGAGAGGAAGGACCAGGTTGCTTTCTTATTGGAGAATTTGCTTCTTATTAAATAGCCGGACAACCCATCTCAGGGGCCTCAGACAGAACTATTGGAAGATCATTCTTCCTGTGACTATCTCGTTCTGCTTGATCTCCCCTCTGCCACATTGTTTCCTCCTTTTTTCCCCCTCCCTTTCTCTCTTTACACATTACTGAGAGGTTAAATTTTTACAAATCTTATATTCGTAAGACATTTTTGTCATCAAGCTGATAGAAGATAAGGAGAGCTCATACACCTGGCCTTCGCAGGATGGAAAACTCCATTGGTTGTCTCAAGTGTTCGGTGCATGAGCACAGTTTATCACCAAATTCACATAGGAAAGACAATGAAAGAAAAGGCCATAATCAATCCTTCCCAGAAGATCTAGTCTTTTCTCTTTGAGAGTGGGTTAAACAAGTCAAGTTAGTTATAGATTATAATTATTTCCAAACTGAAGCAACTTAAAATTAGGAAGCTGGAGCCCCAGCCCCTCTACCTCTTTGTTATCATTATCTCTTTCACACACACACACACACACACACACACACACACACACACACACACATACACAGCATTGTGTAGAATGACTTGCACATATTTGCCTTAAGCACAGGGTAGAAACTAAGACTCATTGTATTCACTGTTTCCTTTGAACATCACATAATTGGTCCCTAGATTTCTGTGAAATCTTAGATTGTATTCTAAAAACCTTGCCTTTGCTATGACTTTATCCTAAGGATCAACTCCCTTTAAGCTTCAATATCTATTCCTTGCCTTTGGAAATGGCATAGTTTTTCCAAAGGCTCAGCATGCTGTCCTTTGGGCTTTTGCTATATCTATAGCAACTACTCTGTTGTGGAACCTTACAAATAAAACCAAGCTTTGGAGTCTGGTCACATGTAAGATACATTGCAACAATAAACAGTTTAGATTCTTTGTTTAAACCAGTAGCTGGCTTATTAATAGCTACTGAGGTGGTGCCCTTGGTTTCAGTAAAAAGAAGTCTATTTCTTGAAATTTATTATATTTAGAACTTTCCATTTGATGGTTAAATATTAAACCTACCTTTAGAAGACATGTGTGGTCTCAACTTGCAATGAAAGGTGGCAATCATTGTTACCTTTGTTAAATTTCCTAATTCACCTCCCTCCCAGGAATTACACTTCTTTATTTTAAAAGTCTCTTCTTTCAAAGAAATCAAAATGTCTTTGTCATGCCTCTCATCATTTTTCAACATCCCTGTGAGATTGACAGAGAAAAATATCATATGTTTAATAAGCAAGATAAATAAAGAAAATAATGTCTACTGATGTTGAATTCAATACATTATCTTTTGGTCAATAATCCACTTACTAAAAGGAATTTTGGCTGTTTGGAGAAAGGACACATTTGGAGTCTGGGATAGGAAATGTACACAATGTGCCAAGAGAATTTCACATTTCACACTGCCAGAAGAGAAGAAAGTATTTACACACACACACACACACACACACACACACACACACACACACACACACACACACACTGTATTTCAGAGAATTATGAAAGTCTCCAATAGCCAAAGTCAGAATAATTTAAGCAGCCAAATAAATTAAATATTAAACTAAAATGAATATCTATGGGTCCACATTTATATGAGAAAATAATCAAATCAACAAATGGGGAGAATAGACAAATTTCCCATTTAGACAGTGATACTCTTATCTCCAATTAACCACCAAAAAAACAGAAGTGGTGCTGTGGCTCAAGTAGTAAAGTGCTAACCTTGAGCTGAAAAGCTCAGTAACAGCGCCCAGGCCCAGAGTTCAAACCCCACAACTGAAAAAAAAAAAGAATGATAGTTTACCTCTGTGATCTTCTTTTAAAATCTATAGTCCTACACTCAAATCAAGATTAAAACACGAGACAAATCTACAGATACCTAACTTGTACTCTTCAAAGTTATTGAACTCAACAATAAATAGTAAGGCTCAGACGCTAAAAGATTGTGCTTCTGGGTCTCTATTAAAGTC